ACTGCAGCAGATGGCAAACCAACATCATCGTCGCGTTCAGTATTTGATTTTTAAGACGGTAGGGGCTCGCAGAGCGGTGAGACTGAAGAGACTCGACACAGCAGAAGCACTGTCTGACGTAGCCTCTGCGTCACTCGCTCTGGAAGAACTCAGATGGGAGACACCCGCAGTCTTTTTTCAATTATTTGGTGTGATAATTCGCCACAGCTATGCCTCTGTGTGCCTCCTGCGGCTCGCCAGTGTTTCAGTTTTAATGAGAGACCCTATTAACCGGTGACTTTCAGCCAAAGAAAATTACAGACCCAAGAGGCAGGAGGAGGGAAAGTGCAGGTGATTAGAGCAAGCAGTTACTGAGATGAGCCAGGGAGAATTGAGGAGGGAAATGACTTCACCATGACAGCCGTAATGGACAAACAACTCATCTGCCTAGCAGTAACGATAAGAGCCCAAGCAGATGTGGGGTTACCTAAAAGAAAAGTTCATCATAAAATAGTTTATTTTTCTGGGCTTAAAGGCTGCATTGGTATGATTCAAACTTCCAAAGTTCCAGTGAAGTAATACTTCTACTAATAATAATTTGTAAAACACTGTTCTTAACAAACTTACCTAGTACTTTACAGTGAAAATAAATTGGAAAATAATTAGAACTTTCCGTCTGCCTCTCCTCTTTTCTGCTGAGCTGTGTATCTGTGGGAGAGCAGGGGGCTGAGCCTTTGCTCAGAGGAGAGACAGACAGTGGTGAAGAGCCGACACGCTGCAACAAAAGCCCTGCGAGGCAAAAATCTAATCAGTGCAAAATTTGTACAGATGATAAAAATAAACACTCAATAGAATACAGTTCATTCAGGTAACTTCAGGCAAAGACTGCACGGAAGCAGGAAACACTGGAGTATACTTTTAAAGGGAGAGAGAAACTTCCCCGAGACAGCGACAGGACCAAAAAGATTACAGGGAGGGAACAGCTTTGATGCAGTGTTTTTACTTAATGCTATATATGCCTATAGTGACATTTCATCTAGCTCTACTCTAGGCTGTAACCCTTCTGTCATTTTTTGTGCCTTGTGTCTCTGTATTTTGGTGTTCATATAACTAAGTAATGAAGGCAGGATAAGAGCTGAGATATTTGAAGAGAAAATGACCATGTTGTTCCGCATTAGATTTAAGTCCCATTGTGCCTGAATGATTGACTGTGAAACTGAATGTATTGTGTGTCACATCAGGTCAGTATCTCTGAAGCAGACTTACAAGCTATGGGTGGCACAATCACCATGGTAACTCAAGAAGGCACAACCATAACCATCCCAGCACACGAACTGGCAACACAAGGCGCTCACTCGGTTACCATGGTAACAACAGACGGCTCAGATGAACAGGTAAACAATTACTTCAGATCATGTCAGAATAAGGTGCTGTTTTTTGTACAGAGGTTTTTTTCACAGTTTGTCACGTGATGTATTAATGCATAAGCTAATTTACTGACGCTGACTGAAACCCAGGATACAAGAATTTACTGTGAAACAGTTACAAACTAGACAAACAGCCAACCCACAGCAGTCTTTTCCAGGTGTCTGCCCATTTTTAACCTGATGATTGGACATTCAACCAAAACTCTTCTGGATCCGTGATGGCACCAGATGCGGCCACTAATTGTGAACCAACGCCAAAGCAGCTGTTTGATTTCTGTACAATGTCTTTGTCTCCCTCAGGTGGCCATCATGACACCCGACATGGCCTCGTTCCAAACGGTGGAGGAGGCAGCCTACAGCCAAGAGCAAGATGACATTCATCCTGTCACATTACTGGCCACCTCCAACGGCACTCACATTGCTGTGCAGGTTGGTAGACCCACACCATAGGAGTGAATAGACTGGTGGGAGAGTTCCAACCTGTGACTTTGATTCGTTCACTTTATAAAGAAGAAGACTGGATACATCTGACACCCCGTTTTGTGTAAACAGAAGAAACTGTTACATCTCTGAAATGGATCATTTGAGAATTAACGTTCAGCAAGAACGCATTAAATTTATCAGTTACCGACTTAGTATTGATCCTACAGAATCAGCATTTCTGCATTGATCGCTTTTGTTTTTGCTGAAATCTACCCATCTCACTCAATGTTGTGTTTCTTATGAGACAGACAGGGGTTTCTAACCTGACTGCATCATATGGTTTGTTGCACAGAACCATCTGGGAAGTCGTTATTGGAAACTGTTTGGAAAAGGGCGGGCACTTTCTAAAAATACTATACTATATACAGATGATTGGATGAACCCTCTGTCTATCACCGTCTCTTACTGAAGCCAGAGGGAGAAGAACAAAAACATCAAGTCCAGCCGACTACTTTATTATATACATTTTTGATTCTAATAAAATATTGTAAGGTTAAGTAGTTAATTCAAGAGGGTATTTAAGTTAGTCTCCCCCCTGAATAATCCCTCCCCAGATCCCACCTTGTTGACCTATTTGCATAAATGCTTGACTAAAAATTATGCGTAGGTAGGGTTTAGCTCAGGGGGGTGTAGGTGTGATGCTGCCCTCCTGCTGGGGCATTTGATGAGGGATGAAACTAAACCAGAAACCTCCACAGGACGTGTGATCTTACATGTAATCCAAATTCATGATGACATTTGTATTATTTGTATTTCTTTTTTTCTTGACACCACAACAAAAGCAGAAGGAAATGAGTGGGACTTTCTAGACATTATACCCTTAAACATCAAAATTATAATGCAGTTTTTTTAAAGCTAAATAAATAATATAGAACTTCATCAGAGCCATATCAAATTGCCGTGTTTCCATGCCTAACGTTCAGAGCCAGAGCCGACAAGTACCCATGAACACTGCAGTGTCATTTGGAATGAATTTCGATTGTACCCTTTCCCACTGAAGACAAAAACCAGATGTTGGAGGGGTGACCACGTAATTATGTGACGACAAACATTTAAACCCTACATTATCTTAAATTTAAATACTATCTTAACTCTTTAGGCCTAAAACCCCTGTGGGGCTACGATTGCATCAAAGGTCAGAGGTCTGATTACCAACATTTATTAATCCTGAAAGACACTGTTTTTATTTACCCCCCTATTGCTCTCCCTGAAAAGGAGAGCAAACACTCCTTGTCCACCTTTTACCACCATGTGACACTCATCAATGAAATTCAGGAGCCTTTAACATAGTCAGTCACAGTCAGAGGTGGTATTGTCTTTTAAATGGGTGGCAGGGTAAATAGATTACATCAGAGGTAGTGATCGATTAACAGTGCTTATCAGTGTGTCAATCAATGTTTGAATTATGCACATTGTTTTCCTTTTCTCTGTAGCTCAGTGATCAGCCTTCCCTGGAGGAAGCCATCAGAATAGCATCAAGAATACAGCAAGGCGAGTCGCCAGGCCTGGATGATTGATGGACTCATTATGGACTATGATTTAGCATCAAAACCATCTCAATTGGACTATATCAACGAGAGAAATCACAAGTCTTCCTCCATGGTTTTTTTCCACAAAAGACCTTAGCTTTTATGTGTACATAGGATTTTGATAACTGGAGTTCTGCTATGCTGTTTTGTCCCTCAACCAAATAGATGGGAGAGGGGAAAAAATGCTTTCTAATGTTGATGGTGCCCAGTGCACAGTGCATTGTACAGCTAATGCTATTTCTAATAAAAAAAAGGACAAAAACATTGTGATCAATTGATGCTACTTGGTTTTTGAACACTTGATAGTCACTTTTAAAGCTGCCTATGGTAAGTTTTATAAAAAATAAATGTTGTCATATACAGTTATAATTGTTGAGTTAGAAATCAAACATCTTTCCTGGCTCTGATTGGTGGTTTTCGTTCAGACACGGTGGATTCTTTCTTTTTTTCATAGATTATCTGTCAGGATACAGTAAGAGTTTCAGCAAACATGACAAAGTTATTTTAATTAAAGTTACCTCCTGTAAGGTAAAAAAATACCCATAGCACATACAGAAAAAAAGTGATATAAAGATTAATTCAAAGGTAACATAACACAAACTGTAATTCATGTTAAGGTCTGTCTCCTGATAAGAGACAATGTACTAGGCACACATGCTGTGTGTGCGATTTGTAAAACAACCTCTTATTTTAAATTATAAATTTTCCATCATGAACTGCAAAGTGGATGTATAAAGCCCCCTTACACTTGAAACTTATTAAGTACATTTACTAAACTGCTGTACTTCAGTAAAATGTTTGGGTACTTGCACTTATACTTGAGTGTTTTCATATTATGCTTCATAACTCCTTGTTCACAGAGGCACATATTGGACTTTTTACTCAATTTGACAGCTGTAGTAACTAGTTTGTAGAGTTAGATTAAAAACACATTATCTTATAGTAGTGTTGTAGGTTTAAGTAACACTGTGTAAAGTAGGTAAAATTGTAACTAGCTATAAAATTACAATTATACTTAGAGCTGATAAATGAGTAATTAAAGTCTTATATAATACAGTAAGTAATGATCTGAGGGGGGCTTTCAACATAACGAGTCAATTTAATACTAAGTACAAATTACTAAAAAAAAGTTTCTTAATTTTACTTGTGATTGTTTCTGTTGATATTACTTGTAATTGAGTATGTTTATGTGGTGGTATTACTAGTCTTACAGTACAGATCAGTATAAGAGAAGTGCGGTATTTATTATGAGTAGTTAAACTTTTTAACCGACCGAAACCACTTTTACTATAAAACAATTGGCTTGGATTCGTATTAGTCCTGTAGAAAGGGAACTTTGACTTCGATCTTTTTATGTTTCGCGGCATCTTTCATCATGCCGTCTCAATAATTGGCGCATTGTCTCCCAGTTGATGTTATTGTGTGACTCCGGCTACATGAAAGACGCCCGTTCGCGCCAGATTGTTGCTCGGCCACCGATGACGTAACGCCTCCCGAATCCTCTCTGGAACGCCCATCTTTCAAAATTCCAAGACGCGCTCTGATTGGCTGCCCGCGGACACGAGACCAACGGTCGCGGGAAGTCCTTTGCCACGCGCGTGATAGGAAGAGAACGGCTCCTGACTCATTCAAACTCTTGTAAACATTGGTATGGTTTTGTTGCGGAAAGACGTGTTTCTGTGTCGGTGAGCAATCGACCAGGTAGTGACGGATACCGATACTTGACTGGACCCGGTAGTTTGAGTGTTTATTTTTGGTTTAGGACCAACTTTGGACGTTGTAACGTTACCTACGGTGACTACTAGCTAACTAGTCCGCAGCCATTTCAGCGTTGGATGGGCGTGTAGGAGTTCGCTAACTTTTTCTCTGGTAGGTTAAAGTAGCGTCTACCGTCTCGCTGTATAGTGTTTGGACACTCTTTAGCCAATACCTTTATTTTAAGGTAGATAGAAGTCGGCTAGCTTTGTGTTTTTTGTGCGAGAAAAGCCACTGCAACAGTAGCGGGGGTCCAACCGCGTGATTTTCCCGTCGACGAAGCCGGGGTTTAAATCCTGAAAATGTCGAGCTACAGCCGCCATCGGCACGGATCCCCCTCCCCGAAATCTCGACCCATTCGTCAGAAATTACAGTTTACATCCAGCGACGGGGAGGACGACCCGATTGAGGACGTCAACAACAGCACCGGAGGAGAATCAGGCTTCACGGAGATGGATTCACCGACGCCAGTGCGACGGGACGCCGTCGATAAGCGGCTGGAGGGGAGCAGCAGCCCCCTGAACCAGTCCGGCAGGGACGACGACGTGGAGCTGTGGGACGAGGATAGTTTTGGCTCCCCGTCCCACCTGCGGTCACCGGGCAGTGTTATCTTCGCCAACTGCTCGCCGTCACCGAGGAAGACTTCTCGGCTGTACGGAGGGTCACCGGAGCGGTCCTACGTCCAGGACGACGGGGAAGGATCCAGCTCCCCGATCCCGGACTGCCCCGACACACCTCCGCATAAAACCTTCAGAAAACTGCGACTTTTTGACACACCGCACACGCCAAAGGTTAGTATTTGTGGATTATGTGGGTGAAGTGTTTCTAAGAAATGGTTTTATGTGTGAGCAGTGGCGGAGTTTACTTTAAAAAAAGGTTTGCAAGGTACCCGGATTTAAACTCATGCTCTCGGCTCATGTGATCTTGCAGAAGCACGTACACGGAGCATTTTGGAGTCAATGTCCTCCCTAAATGTCTCAGAAGTGTCTTTTGTCGGTCTGGACTCCCGAAACTCAGATTTTGCTCATTGTGAAACTTGTCAGGCGTTGAAGTAGAAAGAGAGTCGGAATAAAATGCGAAAACACGAAACTTAAACAGTGAGGTCGGGTCTTGTTTTTGAATTCACGGGATATTGGGATACTTTTGCTCTGTCGGTTAACACAGTGACCCACTTAATGTACAAACTGCACTGTTGCATAATGCTCCCACTGTAGGCAGCCAGAGGTACATGGAGTTTTATGTCAGGGCATGTCTTTATCGGTGATGACTGCATTTACACCGCACTGCCCTTTAAGCATCCACATAGTGCACAGTTGTCTACATTGTAAGCTTTGTGTCCCCGCTGCTGCTTTAATTAAGCACTAAATCTTTCTTCTTCAGAGTTTGCTGTCCAGAGCCAGGGGCTCCGCTCCGGGATCCTCTAGCAGGAGAGTTGCCCTGTTCAAGAATGTGGAGCCTTCAGGGAAGTCGATCACAGACAGCAGCAGAAGACAGCAGACCCCCCTGGTCAACTTTAACCCCTTCACCCCAGACTCCCTGCTCATCCAGTCCGCCACACAACAGAGAAACAACAGAAAACGGGCACACTGGAATGAGTAAGTTGCTCCGATGTTTTCTGTCTGACAGGTTTCTTACAAATACCTCTTCTAATCACAGAAATCTATTGTAACCAAAAGGCCTGCAGGTTATAGTACTTTTCCAAACTGCCTGGGGCAGATAAGATCAGTAATCTGGTTACACATTTCTAACCCTGGTCAGTTTGTGTATAATAACTTTTTAATCTCCTCACACGCTGTTAATCCTGTGTAGCAGAGCCATGCTGAACAACCGTACCTGTTGTCCTGAGCACATCAAACCCATTGTTAAAATAACCAGATACGTTAAAGCCGTTGACTAAGGCCAGGGGGTTTGGCTGGGAACCAAGACCTCATGGTTACTGGTGAACCTTACCATGTGCTTGTGAAGCCCCTGGTGCTGCCCCCTGCTGTACAGAATGCTAACCAACAACTATCTGTCTTTGGTCTTTCAGCTCTTGTGGAGAAGACATGGAGGCAAGTGACGGCGAGGGAGAGGAGGAGGTCTTACCACCGTCCAAGGTAATTAAATGTTCATTTGGTTCACATAAATTACATAAAGTGATACATGTTTACACTTAGGAATATAGTTATTTGTCTTCATTAGACATTATAATATCTCAAATTTAGTTTTAGGGTGGTTACTAATGACATCTTCATTGTTGTTTAATCTGTTGTTGTTGTTTTTGGCTACTGGGAAATAATGGATTAACAAATGCTTATAATAAACTTCTTCTGCCCTCAGAGGATCACCATGATGGAAAGTAACATGATGTCCAGGTACACCTCAGAGTTCCTAGAGCTTGAGAAGATTGGCTGTGGGGAGTTTGGTGCTGTGTTCAAGTGCGTGAAAAGACTTGACGGCTGCATCTACGCAATCAAGAGATCAAAGAAACCTCTGGCAGGATCAGTAGATGAGTACGTTGAATTTATAATTCTTTCAAAAGATTACACCTTAATTGTTTCATGTTATTTTTGCGACACTGTTATCTTAAAGTCCAGTGTCCAATGTGTCTAAACCCCCCTCCCCCCTTCAAACAGGAAAAACTTAATTAAAACGGTCTGTTCCCCTCTTTACAGGCAGAATGCCTTACGGGAAGTGTATGCCCATGCTGTGCTGGGCCAACATCCCCACGTGGTGCGTTACTACTCAGCCTGGGCCGAGGACGACCACATGCTCATCCAGAATGAGTACTGCAACGGCGGCACGCTCTCCGATGTCATCGCAGAGAACTACAGACGGCTCAGTTACCTGACGGAGCTGGAGCTGAAAGATCTGCTGCTGCAAGTCACACGAGGGCTCAAGTACATCCACTCGACTTCTCTGGTGCACATGGACATCAAGCCCAGTAAGTACTTAAGGGTGATATGAAGTGATACAAATTCTAGTAGTAATAATTGCCAGTACATTATTATAAAAGAATATTAATGATGAATAATAAATAAATAAAACGGGAGCATGAGGCGTAACATTAATGTGTTCTGCAACTAATGGAAATATCCCTGATTTTGTCCTAGGCAACATCTTTATTTCACGGAAGTCTGTAGCCAGCTGTGATGAATGTGATGAAGATGATGGACTTGCCACCAGCGCTGTTTACAAAATAGGTAAGCCACAGTACTTGTGTAATGACTTCTGGTATTTGAAGGTTTTGTGGTGGTGTTTAATTACTGAAGCACAGCCACCAACACTGTATCCATTTCTCCCCTAATACGTTTATTGCATGTGTTCCTTCTGCAGGTGATCTTGGTCATGTGACAAGAGTGAACAATCCACAAGTGGAGGAGGGTGACAGCAGATACCTGGCCAATGAAGTTTTACAAGAGGTTTGTCATCTCAACTTTAATACTGCCTCTACTTTTACAGACAGAGCTTCACAGAGGTGTTAATATTTGTATTGGTCTGATTTTCTCTTTGTAGGACTACAGTAACTTGACGAAGGCGGACATCTTTGCTCTGGCTCTGACTGTTGTCAGCGCCTCAGGGGCCGAGCCTCTTCCTACTAATGGAGACAAATGGCACGAGATCCGACAGGGCAAACTCCCCGCTATCCCCCAAGTACTTTCTCCAGAGTTTCTCAGTCTCCTCAAGGTAACAGTCAACACTATTTCTGTCTCCTGTCTCTTTGTTTCTGATGAATAATAGAAGCTGTGTAAGTTTTAGAGCCTTGTGTTGTGTCCTGTGAGATGGTTTCTGCACATTCATTTTGTACAGTTATTAGATTGTTTTAGAATAAGGCCCAAAAGAAAATGTTTTACTCTTTATCCTGAGGCAAAGGGCTAATGTTTTGGTAGAGGGATCTGTAACAAATCTATCACAGGTTTTTCTGTGAAATTGGCTACTCAAGTTCATTCATTTGAAAATAATTTGGTTAGAGACTATTGTTTCTGGGCTGAACAGCAGAACTTTTTCTTCTTAAACTATTCCTTGTTTTTGCTGCTCGATGACTTTGTGCTTTGTTGAGCGTTCCTTTATTGACTTAATCTTATCTCTCTGTTTTTGTCTTTCAGTTGATGATCCACCCTGATCACAGTAGACGGCCATCAACATCAGAACTCATAAAACACCCGGTGCTTCTCACTGCTGCCAGAATGAGTGCAGACCAGCTGAGAGTCGAACTCAACGCAGAGAAGTTCAAGAACGCACTGCTTCAAAAGTGAGTTTACAATGGACTCGTGCTGATTAGTGGGAAGACAATCTAGAGAAACAGTTTTTTTAGACAGACTTTGATTACGTGGTTAAAGTAGAGAAATTCCAAAAAACTGATTCTAGATTCTCCACTGTAAATATTTATGGATTTACCTTGTTACGTCAGCTTTAATCAAAGACATTGACCTTTGCCTTTTATAAATGTTAACTGTACTTCTTTATCTTCCTCAGGGAGCTAAAGAAGGCGCAGATGGCTAGAGCTGTAGCAGAGGAGAAGGTTTTGTCCACCGACAGGATCCTGACCCGCTCCACAGTCCAGTCCAACCCCAGAACCTCCAGACTCATCGGCAAGAAGATGAATCGATCGGTCAGCCTCACCATCTACTGAGACTTTAATCCACCCTGACAGGACGTGAAACACGAAGGCTCATGGACCTTTTAATCAGAACCGTTCAGACGAGACTGTCTCTTTTTTGTTTTTCTTTTCGAAGAGAACCCTGTCAGGCACGGTGTTGGGCTCTTCCGCCCAATCAAAGCTGTAGACTGTTACTACACCAAACTGGAACTCATTCCTATAGACTCTTAAAGGGTAACTGCGGTGTTTTTCAACAGGGACCTTTTCTCCTGTGCTCTTGTGTCAACGTGACTATTGAGGGGAAAAGTTTTGAATCTGGTCCAGTATTAAGCTGCAGCCATAAGGGTTACAGCGTAATCCTTCAGGGCGATTGTCTGGTCTCGCTCAAGGAGAAGGCTCATATGAAAATGGTTGACACAAATAAGGTCCCGGTTGAAAAATACAGAAGTTACCCTGTAATGCCAACATGGTTCAGCCCTTTTTCCCAGTGGACTGGACTTGGAATAAAGTATCATTCCTCAAAGGTAGTTACTGTACCTTTTACATTCAGTCATTCCTTAAGTTTGCATAGACGTCAGGCTCTCTCTCCATTCCTGTCCCTGCACTTCCCTCGACAAAGCCGAAGCCAATTGTTGGCGGATCAAAAGCCGCAGTGAAGTTCTCTTCAGTGTGAATGTACTTGCCGTAGCCGTGCGCACCTTACTGCCTGTCAAATGCCTGATGCTGGGTACCAGGGGGTCTGAGAACTGATTTCTGTGTTTGTAATGGAGCACTTTGGAGGCAACACGTGGAACTTGCCACGTTTTTTGTTTTTTTTTTTAAAAGAAAAAAGAAACCCTTGCTGCTATTGATGTTTTGTGTGTATCAGGGTTTGGCTAGTTTCAGCTTGGATCGTTCTAGAGGTCATTGGCTCTTATTTTCAAGTAGCAGGAGTCCATTTCCCCCCATTTAATGTCCGTTTCATTTTTCTGGTTGGATGGAAAATGGCTGAATCCATTTGAGGAAAATCATCAAATTGGTTTGAAGTACCAAAGCCAGTGCGTTGACTCATTATGTGGAAGGGTAGAATTGATCCGTACTTTGATTTCCCCTGTTGATTGGTGCTGCCAACCCTGCCTTGTAGCATTAGAACAATCATTGTCCTGTTCTTTGGATCATCCTTTGTTCTGTTATTTTCTTTTCCCACAAGGCTCATTTTCAATTAATGTTTAGAAGTATTCCTCATCTCTTTGTTCTTGTAACCTCTGACACAAAATCCCTCCCTGTTGTTGTAACTTGTATGTTCTTTTAATAAATTCTCACCATCTACACTTTCTGCTCTGTTCAGTGTGGTATTATTAGCCGGGCTAGCTCCTACACCTACACTATTAATGCGTGCAGTGGAAATAAGAGAAGTATTTATGCAGAATTTATATAATTATAGATTATAGATCATTTCAAAAAAGTCCCATCCTCAAATGTTAGAATCTCTGTTGTATATCTTTACACTTTTATATCTTTGGGTGTGTTTGAACAAATCTATAATCTTGTATTTCCATTTTCCGATACTATATTTCTACTCCACTACTCTTTAGGGGGAAAATGTGTGGGCTCCTTTTTACTATATTTATTGAACAGCTTTAGTTAGTTTGCACATTCATATTGTTAATACAAAATATAATCAACTAATAACTGACAGTGAGCAGCAGTAGATAAAGTAATACTAATTAGCTCCACCTTTACCAGCTGCAACAAGTGTTGGATACATCAGTGCAACAATAATAACTCATTACTATATGTCTTATTATAACTTTTGGTAGTCGATTGAGTATATTTTAATGGTAATACTTTAATAAGATCCCCTCCAGACATGTATTATGACCAATAGTCTGCTGTTTCTGAGGATTCTTCCACATAAAAAGTATCATTTCCACATTAAACTCCTTAAAAACATCTACTCCTTATACCACAATTTATGAATATGCAAAGTGTGTTCATTTCTGAAGTTTTCCTGCTGGACACAAGATGTCTCCTGTTTCTCTGCGGTCCATTCTCAGTGTGTGCATGGTGGCTTCGGGTTTCTGTATCACACCTTTTCAGTGAGCACAGAGAAACTTTCAGCAGATTGAGTGAAAACTTCCTTCTACAGTCACACATCCAACTGTAGGAACAACAAGAAAAAGTGATTTTGGACTGGAGGGGGTCTAACATTTTGAATTCAGGACTTGTAGCTTGTAGCAGAGTATTTTCTTTACACTGTGGCATTAAACTTAAACCCCCCGAGTCCTTCTCCCGCCGCTGACCCTGGATCAGCTCCTAACAGTGACATCCAGTCAGCTTTATGGTGTGTTTTTCTCTCGCTGAGCGGTGCTGCAGCTCTTCAATCATAATCATGCCAAACACGCAGTGTGACAGCGGGTCATGTGACTTTTCCCTCACTGTGTCCAACAGTCAGACTCACAGAGAGGAAGAGTCGCGCTCAGACAGTCGAGAGACAAGTTCAGCATTATGGCGCTGCGGGACGAGCTTCTAAAGTCTATCTGGCACGCGTTCACAGCTCTGGATGTGGACAAAAGCGGGAAGGTCTCCAAATCTCAGCTCAAGGTAAACTCCCTACACCTCTTTTTTTTTTTAAAGTCTGGGTTGGTGTTTGGCGAAGCAGGAAACTCCCACTAAACTCTTATATTTTGGTATGTTTTGGGCAAATTTAAAAAACTTTTTTTTTTTTTAATATAGGACACTATATGTTCTATATACGCTGCTGTGCGTGAACAGACTCCCGCAGCAGAGATGCACCTGTTTGTAGTTTGTACACTGATTGATTCAGGCTCATTTTGCTTGTGTGGACAGAAAAACTAAACACAACAGAAGTACAACCCACTGGAGGAACATTGTAGTAAAACCACTGAAGATTAATTAAAGAGTTTATATACATTTTTTAATCTTTGGAATATGATTTCCCCTCTGATATTAAAACTACCTGCATTAAAACAAAATATCTTTAGGGAAAAAAGCTTGAGTTTTAAAGTGATGCTAACGGAGACTGTGAAGGCTATAATGTAGGTTAAAGTCCATATGTAGAGAGAAACAGGTTTCTAGTGACATGAGAAGATGAACAGTGGAGGAAGTACTCAGATCCTTTACTTCTACTACTCCTTTTAGTTCTAATAACACACTGTAAAAAATACTCCATCAATAACAAGTCCTGCATTACTTAAATCTGTAAGTATAATAATGTAAGTATAAGATGTAGTTTAGTCAGTGTTAAAATTAAGTACTAAATGCAGACAAGTTAGACAAAAGAATTGGGTCGGTACTGTGTCAGTATCAGTAGACTAATCACAGCCAAGTAAAAGAAAAGAGACTTTTTTATTTTTTATTTCCTGTATAACTGGCAACATGTATACAACTTTATGACACACCCACATATTTCCAGCTCTGCGCCAGCCAAACATTGTTCAGCAGGTTCAAAGGAATCAACAGCCAGCAGCCTCTGAATCTGAAGAGAAAATGTTTCCACTATAGATCAGAACACAACGCCGCTCCAAGACATATTTTATCTGTTGAAAGAGGTGAAACTCCATCTTCTCTGGGAATTGTTCTATTGCACTATGCTGTCCACATCATCCCCTCTATGTCTGCCCACGCTAACCCCATCTGAATGCAACATGTTGTCAAAAGTCAGTCTGGGAAATACAGGAAATCACAAAATGTGTCAATTAAATGTGTGGTCACAGGAACCATTTCATCAACACTTTTCTCAGACTTCTGACATAAATCTACCAAAATAGCCAAGAGCCAGATAGTGTTTTAAATAAGTTTCTATCTACTGAAGTACCACTAAGAGTTAACAGCAACGTATCACACTTTCCACATGTATTGAACTAATTCTTTTGCATGAGCACATAATAATAAAAGTTAATGTATTTTTTATGTAATACTTCCACTGTGTAATATTAAGGAGGATCGGTCGGCAGAAATGGAATAATATTCATGGGTATGTTTTCATTAGTGTATGATAAGAACCATGTTTTTGTTAGCTTAGAATGAGCCGTTTGCCTCTACAGATGGAGTGGATCCTCTTCCACCACTATGTTGAACCACCATGTTTCTAATCTGTACCAGATGGTTTGTTACACAGAACCACCTGGGAAGTTGTCATTGGAAACAGTTTGTAAAAGGGCAGGCACTTTCAAAAAATACTCTGCATGTGATAGGTTGAAACTTCAATCAGTCAGATCAGTGAACCATAGAACGTAGTCTAATTCTTACCAAAGCCAGATGGGAGAAGAGCAAAAGCATCACTGGGGATATAAGTGATGGTAGCATCTACGCTAACTCCACCATTGTTGTTTATTGTGCTGCGTCACATATAGCGCTCACCCCAGTAGCTGCCTGGGTCTTCCTTAAAGGACGCTGATTGGTCCGGTACCACTGTAGTCTCTCCACAAATGCCTGGCAAGATGGATTCTCACATGTGTTTGTGATCCTGTGAGTCCAGCTGCCTCACAAGGTCATCATGTTTCTACAGTAGCCCAGAACAGACAAACCAAACACTGATAGTAGTTTCTCCTACATGCTTGGAAGGTCGAGCTGTATTCACATGCTTGCAATCTACAACTTCCCCGCTAGATGCTGCTGAATCCTACACAGTGGTCCTTTTTAAAGTTATGATCCTTTTGCTTTCTTGTATCCTAATGGCTGCTGACGTTTTATAGACTAAACCATTTATCAATCCATAGAGAAAATGATCACCAGATTAATCAATAATGAAAATGATTGTTAGCTGCAACCCTAGGTTCAATACTTTGTCAAGTCTAGCCAAGTGATATCAACCAGGTCTGTCACCTGGATAAATTTTTAACCTGCGTTACAAGCTTATGCTGTGGAGCATCTACCAAACACAGAGGGTCTAATGTAAGTTGCATTACGGGATTTGTAGGATCCAGTACTCAAACCATAAAAGGGACTAAAATTCCTTATGTCTCAGCTTCTGCTTCACTGAGTAAAAAAACTAAATCATAGAAGTTCTTTATCTTCAAATTTCTTCTAGACTCCAGTTGTCTGTGTTGTGTATCTCTGTGCTTCATCAGTAGTTAGCAAGTTATTTAAGTCTCTGGGAGATGAGATCAATTTGTTTCATATACTAATTAGTCCTGAAACTGTCATTTATAAAGCAAAATGGAAAACATTGTCTGGTTCCAGCTTCTCGAATGTGAGGATTGGCTGATGTTCTGTTATATATCAGTGTCAGTATTCTTGGGTCAGACAGATCAAAGTATTTAAAGACGTCAACTTGGGTTCTGGGAACTTGTGATGTTTTCTGATCTTTTAATTGATGGATGGTTTTTAATCCATTAATTTAACTAATTAACAGATTGAAAATAAAAACAACTGTGAGAAAATAATCCCATAATCAGTAACAAACAGAAGATTTTTCCCATTGTTCCAGGTGCTGTCCCACAACTTGTGTACGGTGATGAAGATCCCACATGACCCCGTGGCGCTCGAGGAGCACTTTAAAGATGACGACGAGGGTCCCGTCTCCAACCAGGGATACATGCCATACCTGAACAAGTTCATCCTGGATAAGGTATTGAAACATTTCAGGGCCTTTCTGTGAGTATGCACGTTTGTGTTGGTCTTCTTCTTCTGTGGTTCTGTTCAACCCTAAAACAAATGCACAGGTAACACTCCTGCCAAGGCCCATGACCAAGGCACTAGCTTCAGGATGGGTGAAGTGCAGCGGATAAATTTACCCAGCGGGATTAATAAAGTATGCCACCAAAATTGGAGATACGAGATTTGCCTCTTCAGTGACAGTGTATCATAACTCAACTGATTTCTCCGTATTTATAGAGGAAACAATAATGGTTTTGACATCTGAGGTTCCCTTAGGATAAAGTCAAGTCTCTGTAATAGGAGAATAAAACATTACCAGACGTATAAAAACACAAATTTGACAGCAGGACCGATGAGGCTTTAGTTCAGCTGCAGCGAGTTTATTATTATTATTATTTATTATTTTTTAATGCCCTGGGTGTTGCCTTTCGGGCCGGCTGCTCTATGCTCTGGACGTTGGAGCTTGTTGTGGGCATACACAGGCTGAGGGCGTTTTCTGCAAACACAATTCGGGGCTGAAGAAGCAGCCACCGCTTCCTCTGCAAGTTTATTACTCATACGTAAACTTAAATATCATTAAAGAGTCAAACTGTTTTATAATGTCTAAAGGGATTGTGCCACTTGTGACATCATGGTGAACTGATGTAATGTGGTGTCTTAGTTTTTTTTTTTTTGGTTACACAGTAAGAATATACCTCAGAGAGCTCTTAAGAGTATTGTATGAATTTTAACTTTGAGGTTTTGTCAGCGTCCGTTGCTAAGAGGATGTTCTCAAGGTCAGCTGTGAAACTTTTGTTTTAGCCAGACATTTTTTCGGGTTGTTAGTTCGTTGTTTTTTCATTAAGACTGCAAGACTCAGCAACTTCTGAGCAACTTCGTTGTTTCTTTATTATTGTCAGCGTTGCCTCATAAGTTCCTTGTTCCAGTTCTTAAGACATTCAAAAAAAGTTGTATGACGGGTTTAACAGCCAACATCAGTCCAGTCTCTGTGTGTGTTTGTGTGTGAAGCAGGAACACAAACTGTAACAAACTCAAAATGTACTTCTCCACTTGAATTTAAAATAAAGTTCTGTGGGTTTGTGCTTTATTTGTCTGCACAGCGTGAGTTTGTAATGGCTTACCCACTGGCAGTTCATTAAGGTTACAGAGGTTAAACTCTGTTGCATCGACTGCACCCTCTCTCACCTTTCCTTAAGGACATTTAAATTCTAGATTAGGGTTCAGGAGCAGAGACATGACGTCATGGTCAGACATTATTAGTGCCCCAACACACTCACTTTTATGTACTTTTCCACACTCACCCGTCCCGCCCTCCCATTGAAGTGGAGGTGACGGGGGCCGTGGAGAGCGAGGGCCGGTGGGTACATTCAACCTCTCTTACTCCTGAGGAAACTCCACCCGCTCACACAAGGAAACTGTGTGTGTGTGTGTATGCACGATTGTGTGTGTG